GATATAGCATGGAATAAAATGGCAGGAGTGTCATGTATAAGAATACAAACTGTTGCTTGTAAAACGTGTCAAAATGCAGTGTATTTTTTCGCGTGACCAAGCACACGTTGGTTGCTCATTATTACATCACGGGTGTGTACAGAAAAGGGAGATGAGGGGAGGTTGAAATCAATTGAACTGTAGTGTGTATCAATACGCCCGTTTCCTTCCACTTCAGCCAATGAAAGTGGCCTCGGTGTTCCACGCGGCTGATAATGATGGCATTGTTTGCTTTGTAAGATGTCTTCTGTCTTTGTCTCGGGCGCCTTGCTGACAGAGAGATTGCCATGGCAACCGATAACTCAGGAACCAACTATTAGCTCTGCCCTTCCGCAAGACTTACTCTGACCTTAACAAATGCTGCCTCTATTGTCAAGTGCTTGTTAGCCTAAGAGGAGGGTCTGCAGCAGCTTCCAACAAAAAGAAATCGCAGGAAGAAAAAAACAACCTCAAAACAGCTGCTACTACCTTTGAATAGATTGATGCTGTCGTTAAAGCTGTCCTTCGCGTAAGGATGGTTGCCATAGCGATGATGCTTCACTGTCTAAAATGGAGGGTTGGTTTTTTAGTTTTCTGGATAATTTCCATGCTTTACAGGAGATTACAGATTACGCCCGGTAGTGACGTCTTTAGTTGCTGCGTAGATTGTGCATAATGCTGTGAGGGCCAGTCGTTTGTTGCTGGTCTTTTTTTTTTTCATCTTGAAGGAGGGGAGAAATTAGAACACGACCCAAAATATTTGATTTTTTTTTCCCTGGTACAATGTGACATTCAGCGAGGAAGTTTCAACCTGGGTATTACATCCAAATGGATGGGACATAATTGTTACCCTTGTGAAAACCAACCTACAGGATGGAACTTCATGTTTGATGTTAATTAGATTTGATGTGCTCAAACGCAATCATATTGAGGAATTCTGCTGTGTATGTATTTGTGGCATTTCTTTCAAGCATGCACAGTTTAAGAAATTAATTTATGATTCAGTTTTGTTTTCCAAAAAATCGAAATGGTCATAGAAAATTTTGTTTATTTGATAAATAAGACCAGTAAAGGTTATCAGATGATTTTCAAAAAAACACCTAATCAGTCAGCTTCTTAGTAGAACAGCAATCCTTTTTTGTTTTTTCAAAGATTTGCTTTCTCATGGGAGTTTTGTCCAGTCTCATTAATGATGCCACTGAGGTGATATTAACAGTCTGCTCATACCGAGTACTAAAGTTAAAAGTCTTCCCTTTCCCCTCCCCCGAACAATCCTTCAATGTTTGTGAAAATGTCGGCATCGGACTCCAGTCATCGATTCCTGGCCACATAAATTGGCATTGGCAGTCTCCTTAACTGCGAGTTCTTAGCTGTTACACAGTTTCCGTGGCAACCTGTTAACTCCAGATATTAATCAATTTTTTGTCCTCCCCCCGACCTTGGCTGCTTTTAGCAGTCCCTTCGGCAGTTAAATACTGATTTTGGATATAGCAGATTCCCAGGACTTTCAATTTTTAGATCGTTTCTTCATTTCATTCTCAACCCTAACAGTCACAAATCCTCCAATTTCAATACGATTTTACATACACCCTAGGGATTTAGGGTTAAATATATATTTTTAAAAAAGCCATGTAGATACAGCTGTTAAGGGTTTTGTTTTTCTTTTGTTCATTTTTATACAGAAGTGAATGTGCAATACGTGTTTTCAAAGTAAACATATGCCTGATGTTCAAGGTGCTGGTTTGATGAAATGGAATTATTTACGGATGAAATGAAACCAATTACATGTACCTGAAGTGCAACGGAGTGTGTGGAAAATGATATTGTCGTGTGTTTCATTGTAGAGACCGGTTTCGCTTGCTAAGTCACATGACCTGTAGTGGGTATTAAATCTCAACAAACATGGTGTCCCCCAAAAGCAAAGTGTTCCATAAGTATTGTTTACCAAAGGTAAAGCAGACGGTAGGTATAGTACTCAGACTATTGATGTGCTGGGTACTATGCTGTAAATTGGCTGTATTGTTTGTAAAGAACACTCAAAACACACATTGATATGGGGTTCATACCCACAATAGGTCACATAATTTATTCCTTTGAGGCGACGAACTAGGCCTAAGTCAGAATAATTTCAGATCAAAAGCTGTTTAGTTGTGATTTGAATTGTGCCCAAATTCAGTGTCGGAAACTCGTTTTCACTTTTTTCCGAATGTGGCTATGCGATGTCACTAACAAATTATGAACCAACGATGTCATGCCAACGCTTGCGTGCACTCCTAATGGCAATTTTTCCAAAATGCATCTTCAGACCCATCATTTGAAATGGCTGGCTCCCATTGTTTTTTTCAAAATGGCAGCTTGCCAGAAAGAAAAATTTCACAGGGATTTTGGGTCTCATGACCAAAGTAGGCTTTTCAACAATATTTGTTACTTTTACGATTGGATAACTGCAAATGATGGACTGTACTCTGAATTCAAAAACAAAAAATGCGAGATGATGTCTACTCACAAAAGCATCCACCTCCAAGATGGCCGTCAATAATAAAATATCATTCCTTCTTCACTGTTTATCAAAAATTTCAAGAAATTTGTTTAGTTTTGAGAAAGAGAAGAAACTTTTTGTACAGTTTTGTACATGTACGAGTGTGCACTTAGGATGAAAGTACAGTATTTGACTTAAATATTCACAGCTCCAACTATTTGCACCAACCATTCTTTTCATGTGGATGGTCAACTAGGACATGTACACGTCATGTAGGAAACATTTTGAAAATAATCACTCTTGACAGAAGAGTGATTGCAGATGTTCATCATGATGTATGAAGGAAAGTTGCATTGAATGACAGGAATGATTGCAGATCTATGCAGTTTTTAGTGCCATGTCACATGGTCTTACTTGATTGTACATTCTCTGTGTGATAGCTTGCACTTTAGTTGGAAGGATTCTGTCAGCACAGGGGTAATTGAAAAGTATGGAGATTTGAGATGGCTACAGCCAAATCCTTTTTTTAATTGGAAGATGGACAAAGCAGAGAATTTGGTGGACCGGTTGTCCAAGAAAACACTGCTCACATTTAAATTGGCCAGCATTTATGGCAGTGGTCACAAGCAAGCAATGGCAGTCAACACAAGCAGGCTTCTTATGTTTCAATTGAGATCAGCTTTCTCCTTGTTGAACTGGTAGGGCATGGAGAAATTTGTAGAAAACGCAAACTTTGATCTGCCAGCACTGTTTTGGGGGAAAAAACGAAACAGAAATTTGGGCCTTCATTGCACCAGCATCACTGCTTGTATACTTTCCCATGGATGTGTGCATGCTGAGGAGAAATTTTTCCACACGTTGGCCTCAACATTCACTTTGACCATGAACTAAGCATAAACTGGAAATTTACATTGCCCAGAAACTACATGTAGATGGACGCTATCTGTAATATGTAAGTGTAGAGAATTCCACAAAACACTGCAACTTATCTCATTTCTAATGCTGTTATTAATATTTCAAACCTAATGTGCAACCTGCATTTGGTATTGTGTTCCTCAACAGTTGTACTAGATTAAATTGTCTTCATAACTTGTGGTTTGGAGATAAGCTGGAAATGAATGAATTTTCTTCACTGCAGCTGGAGGGGTTGGAGGTCAAGTTTAGCTCAGAGGCCACTGATAAGATTCAGGAGGAATGCTGTCCTGGAAAGCCATTCTCTATCTTCAGAGCTGAGGTATCTATCTATATTGGGTGACTTCTTAAGTGCTTGTAGAAAGAAGGAAAGAAAGGGAAATGGTCACAGAAAATTCCATTTGCTCATTAAACCCCCCAATCAAATTGACTTCTTGATTGATTTAAGCTCTGTTGATTCAATGGAAAGTATATCTGGTTTGTTCTTCTGCAGTCAAGTGTAGTTGTGAAGATGGTGAACCCCCAACCCCACAGTGGTCACTTCACCCTGGACGTTCCCATCAGGCAAGGGGACACGGTTGCCAAGGTAGCCAACCGCATTGCTAAGCAGGATCGAGGAATTAAAGGTACTGAATAGCTTTGTGAAGTAGGTTGACTTGAAAAGCAACTTTGAAAAGCATTACAGTGAATGTTCTGAGCAATGATGTTGTTGGAACAAGGCACTGTATCTTGTTAGGTAAACCAGAACTGTCAAATAAAAAGATTGGAACAACAATGAAAAACAAAGGTTTGAAGAGTCTTAAAGAGTTTTATCAAAGCATATTGACTTTTGTGTTGTTTTTTATTTTGTTTGTATTACTGATTATGAAGGGTTTCTTCAGTTCTTGTTTTTTTTTGGGTGGTGGAGATTTTTATGTCCTATATTGGGTGAAACTGGTTGTTTTGGATGTTTTGGACCACTTTGGCATCTTAGTAAAACTTCTGCAGTTTTCCATTTGTCCTTTGATGTTATCCAAACACCAGACCCATTGATCAATTGAGGAACTTTCAAAGTATCTACTTGCTGTTTTCCTGCCTCAGTTGGATGTTCCTTTCCCTTACGTCTGTTCAGTTAACAAGGTGATATGCATCCAGGAATTATATTTTTGCTGCTGACACAGTTGCCTATTTAAGAGAAACTGTTGACATATTGGGTTGTACAATTCCCTTTTACTTACTTTCACTGTTTGAAAACTTTATTCTTGTTGGTGAATTGCAAATGATAATGAAACTGGTAAGGGTGTGACCAGTTTCTACAGTTTCATGGAATTGCCCTTTTTGGTATACTAGGAGTCTCTTGGTTGTTTTCGTTCCTAGACGTGAACAGGGTCAAGATACTACGTTACAATGATCCCGATCTGGGGCCGCGCAAGATGCCAAAGTTCCAGCAGCCAATGGAGGGCCGGACTGGGATTGGCAGCCAGGCCACCTTCAGTATCAGCCTTGAGACCAAGCGAGTGTCGGTGTCCGACAACGGCAACAATGTAGACGCGGGTTCGGTGCTGGTCTATATGGTGGAGTAGCTCACATGAGATTGTCGCAGTTAAACTGCTGTAGACACTTAATATGAACATTCAAATATTCTTGCACCTCTTCATTGGCATCAACATGGATGCAAAATGAGCGTCCGTGTCTGAGAGTGGCAAAGATGTCAACCCAGTTGTTGGTTGTTGCTGGTCTGTGTGGGGGAATAACCTGTAACATTGTTGCAGTCAAACTGCTTTGGACACAAACAATTAAAATACCCTGTAATCTTGTATTTGGAAATAGTTTGTCAACTGTTGTTACAAGGGTGTGGTATAAGCAAATATCTCTGCTTTTTAAAGTTGATCTATAAGGAATACGCTCAAAGTAATGTTATTTTTTTCATTTAAAAATCCCACAAATGCATTGTGTCTTCCATGTGTACATTTACACAAAGCTTTTTTTTTCAACACACAACCACTCTAGACCTGCACAGGGTACAATCATTAACCCTAACCCCCTAGGGTGTATGTAAAATCGTATTGAAATTGGAGGATTTTGGAGTGTGAGGGTTAAAGTACGCTGTGTACATTATATTGACATAATTTTTTTTTCCGTTGAAATTTGATTTTTTTTTAAACTATTGCTTGATTTTTTCCCCCCAACCATTTGAGTTGGGGTTGCACACCTGGAACGCTGTCTTCTTTCAGTCTCATTGCATAACAATTAATCTAACTTTTTTTTTTCTCTCCAAAAGTTCAATCCATTTTGATTTTGTGAAAGTCTTCAAAATTGTCTTTATATGCACTTACTGACATTGTACAAGAAAGTTACAAGAAGGTTGCATACGAACCTGTCAGCTCTCTGTCCAGCAGTGTTGTAAATTGGGAATTCACCCAAACATTCCTGGGAATTAACTGATACAGTGGGAACTGAATGTTTTCAATGAGAAGGATTTTGATGTCTTGACACAAAGTCTGACAAACATGGCTTTGTTTCATGAACTGAAAGGGCAGTTGCATTTCTAGCGAGGGGTGGGGAAAGTTGACCTCCCCCTGATTTTTAATTGGAAGTGTCAATACTTTAGTAAACATACTAGCACTTTTTGAGGGGCGTTGAGTATTCCTTTTGGCAATTACAAATAATGGGACAATTGTTAATGGAGGAAAGAAAAAGTCATTTAGCCCCTGCAATCTATTCCTGTATATGGCAATGTGACCACTTCCTTGGTTTTTCTGACTGGAACATTTCTTGCCCTGCTCATAACGTTTCTAAAACAAACAAAAACAAAACAAAAAAATCTGAAGTTAACACAGAGCCTTGTGCCTTGGCTATCCAATGCCATCTTTTGTGAGTAGTCGTCAGTAGTAATGAAGAACCTGTAGCAGTGTACCAGAAATGTACACGATATAATATTGTAACACAACATGTATTGCTCTCCATATTGGGAAGTCCAAGTACTCAGAATGCACGTTGTATCTCAGTACACTTGCTGGATGTGATACTGAAGTCCTCAGCATGTGCAATTGCAAACCAGTACAATACCAGAGCCAGGATTTGAGTAAAGGTTGTTCACTGTGATGCAACAAAATCCGAGTGTTTTTATTTGCAGACTGAGTGAACTCACTCCTTTGCTGAAGTTTAAAACAGGCTGAACATAAAAGGAATGATGAGAATTGTATATCTACAAAGTATGTTTCAAATCTTTGCAAACAATTAAAGCATAAAGCCATGACAAGTTAAATGCTAACACAATGTGTAATAAGTGTGAATTTTGCCTTCAATTAATCATGATCAGTAGCCACAATAAAGAAATTTTTCTAGAGCAAGCTTGTATGAAGGCTTTCTTCATTGCTTCTGAATGCTGTTGGCATAGATTGGGGAGTAATGTTTTAAGTATGCGGTGATGAAACTGATATAAATTCCCAGCAAAACTAAGTCATTGCAACGATTACACCAAGGGCCTTGTTTGTTGTTCAAATGCAATGGAGAAAGTATTAAGTGTCTTTTCAAGCTTTTTACAAAGAAGTGAAGACATAACCTTGGAAGCAACATGATACACAAAGACATTGAGCTCTGATATTGCAGCGAATATTGATCCCTTTTTAATGCTTCAGTTGATCTGTACTTCCAACAGGTTGTGCGTTAAGAGTGGAATATTCCCAATCAAGGAGGCTCCCTTGATTCAGAAATAGACAAAGGGGAGATCCAAAACAGACTTTTTGGGAGGCCCAGTTTTTGGGGGTGTGAGAGACAGAAATTGTAAACTTTCATTGGCTTTCAGAGGGGAAAGGCTTAATTTTTGGGTTCTTTACATGCGTCTGCTTTGGGAAGGGACATATAATAATCCCCTAAAATGGCTTTCTCTCACTGTTCCCCCTCCAAACAAATTGGCCCCATTTGGGAACATGGCCCTGTTGCCCCCCCCATGTGTGGAAAATGTACCATATTTTAATTTGTAGCAAATGAAACAAACTTGACTTGCTGAAATAACACATGTTGCCTTGTATATAAGTCTAGCACTGCTCGCAGTGCCTTGGCCCAATTTCACACAAGTTGTTCAGCAGAAAAAGATTCTTAGATATATTTGTACTCGGCCAAATCCCACTTCAAACAAGTCACAAATTGCTTCAGCAAGAAATAGTGCCATGATTTGTGACATCAGATGGTTAGTGGTTTCGTGCAGTGTGTGGATTTCTGGTGCTGCCATTTAATTGAAGTAACATTGGTTTAGTGTTAGGAGGTTTGTTTTTGAAGGGGGCAGCTTTCTGAGGGGGCGGTTTGCTTTGGTGTTTTTTTTTTTTTGAGTGTGTGTTTTTTATTAAACGCAGTGAAGAACTATTCAGTTTCATCAGTAATGCAGGCCCATCAGAGGGGGGTATGGGGCAGAGGGGCCGCCCCCAGCAACAGGACTGTAGCTATGCCAAAACTATGGCTCAATCGTGGAATTTCTATGGAGGAATCTGTGGACGGAACACTAAAAGCAAATAACTTAATTGTGGAAGGCTTGTGTACAGGTTGTGCATATTTCACAATTTCCACTTGAGGAGGGATGGCACTTTCGCGAGGCACAGAGTTTCGCTGAAAATATTCCAACCCCGAGTTACTCCACTGGCAAGCATTCCCTCCACTCCGATAAATATGATCGTCCAGCCCCCCCCATTTCCTTTCGTGAAATTTCGTCATGTAGGATAGAAAGATTTGCTTAATTGCTCAGTTGTGGTAATTACTTGAGGTCTTTAGTCTATGTACTGAGCAAGCTCAAAGGCAGCCGTACTTCGCCTCAACCGGCCTTGCCTAGCCCCTTGAAGAAAATCCATTTGGAATGATGCAAACAAGGGCCAGAGAAGTTTGACTGAAAATGACCTTTTTAAAATCAAAATCGAATACATTAGCAAAGCTGGTTCTCAATTACGTAATCTATAACACCCCACTGCAGATTTGCAAAGGTTTTCATGTTCGGCAATCAGTCAACAGAGGGCCTGTTCATTTTTAGTACCCGGCGCCCGCAAGCGCAAAAGCGAGTGCAGAGATCAGTGGTTCAGCGCTGGGTGACGAACGGTTGCGTCTATTTTCTCAAATAGGGGCTAGTGCAAAATGGATGTTGTTGTTCTTGCTGTTTTGCTCCTTTTTCAAATACCTCGGATACTATACATATGAACAAATAAATAAACAAAATAACATGTTTAACAATTATTTGTAACCTTTGTGCGTTTACATTGTTGAAGCCACATTATTAACACAAAATTGGACACTTGATCCCCCTTTTTGATATGTTTTCGTCTTTGGCAACGATCAACAACAGCTAGCTAGCACACGTGAATGATGGCAAGAAACGGAAGTTCTGGAAAAAGCTGACAAAAGTTAAAAAGTAACGACTCGTGAGGATCTGGAATTCCGGCGGAAGGAAGTGCACTGAACATTACGAACGGTCGGTGGTGTGTAGAGAAAAGAAGACTCAAGACACACAGGTACGCAGCCCTAATGGTACGGGACTTCTGTTTCTTATCCAAAACGACCTGGCCAAGTCCGAGTGAAATGACTTGGACTCTGTACAAATCGCCTTTTTCAACATGTGGATGATTCCGGTTGCCCGACCACAATGTTCAGATCTTCGCAAACGCGCAAATAGGCAATTCGTATTACGAGGCCATGATAAAATAAAATAATTGACGAGCGTTCTTTTTTATCTTAGGGCAGGAGTTTTTTTGTGTGTGTCCAGTTTAACATACATCTTTGCTGGATTGGAAAATATTAAATAAAGAGCACTTTCCTCAATAAATGAGTTTTATTTACGAAAGGGTTTAGGGGCCTAAGCTACAGGAAAGTCATTCACCACAAAAGGAGATCTAGGGATTGTACAGGCAGGCGAAAATAAAGGAGGATTTCTCACTTTCTGAACAGTAAGGTGCTATTTCATAGGCCTTACTGATTCCTGATGTTTGATGGTTCTGTACACAACAGTTTTTGAAAAGTGCCCTGCAATCATATCAGAGAAAACCTCCGTTTGCGCTTTCTTGAGCAAATCTTCCCCTAAAAAACCCATAATAATAGGTCGGCCTAGGCCTATATATGAAAATACCATGCATGTGTGTATTTTGTAGAGTGTAACCTACATTATTGGCAAAAAGTGAGCCTTTTCCTGCCATCCTGACCCATAAATCCCTCGACGATCCATACATCTGCATTCTGTGTGGCCGTAGTGATGTGACAAAAACAGGTGCAGCGTAACAAGTGCTTATGTTGCTTCGGGTACCAGATCCAATAATTCCAACTGTCAGGGAAATCTGTGGTCAGGGAACCACACTAATACAAATGTGTGCGGATCACTGTGAATAGGGAGACTTCTCTTGAGGTACGGTATTTGCGAATATTGTTTTAAATCTAGTCCCACAATGAATAAATTTACTCTGCCTGGTTCAGTGCCTCCAAGCTTTCTCCCTTACACCCTAGCTTGAAACATCATAGCCCAACCACTAGAAGGCTTTAGTTTTGCAATGAACAGGAGAGTTGTATTTTTCCAGCGCAGTGTACCTGTACAGGCAGCAGAATTCTCAGTGGTCAGCTTACGGTATCATTATTCCCTCGTTTGATGTCCTGATGAAAATGGATATCATGTGGATGGAGGTTCCTAACTGTTAGATTGTGCAAGAATCCTTCAAAGGCATTTACTCAATTTTTCAAGCTCTAGCAACTTGCAACTCATTGTGACACAATACAGTGCCTTATATCCCCATAGGTTGGGTCAAGGCTGGAGGGGTAGGTTCAGAATATCATGAACCCTGCATCTGGAATGAATTTTCTTTGTGTGTACCGGTACATGTTTCGGCAAGATGTAATGTTGATTTTGATTGTTTGGTTTGCCCTTTGCGAACATTATTACAGAGCACTACATGCTCAGTACTTCCCAATACCTTGTGGGAAAGAATTGCTTAGGTGTCGTCCTTGCTAATGGAGATCTCTTAACGTCTCAACCAGCGAGCTTTGTGGGGCTCCACTTTAACATGGATTACTTAACGAACTGTGTTTCTATGAGGGGCAATCCAAACACTTCTCTTCCCTGTTGAGTGCCAACATGTGTGTAGTTTACGATATTAGGCACAGAGCAAGCCTGCTCTTGAGTGTAATTCTCCTCTTGGCCAAGTACAGGTCCTGTAGCTAGAGCTATTGTTCTCTGGAGTCATGAAATCATTTTGTAATTTGCTTCATGCCTCATTTAGGGCCCAGCGACGTGCCAGTTTTCAAGGTCTGCAATCATGTCAATATTAATTAATGCTCAAGGCTTGCTGCTGTTGTCTGGCAGTAGTTTCTCGTCTGTCTTCCCATTTCCAGTAAATCTTGATCACCTTGGCGGCGTGTTTTTTTGTTTGTTAAGTTTTCTTTTCATTTTTGTCCTTCACTGTATCGATTGGTGTCTTGAACATGTGTGAGCACCTTCAACATCGATAGTGTTTTTATGTATCTGAGAAAACAACACAAAGAAGTTGTATGAGTTGGCAAATATATCAATCTGTTATAGTAATCTTTGTTTTCAGCCAGTTGGCCACCTTGAAATTAAAGATCAAAACGAAAAAAAGCCAAAAGAAAAAAGATTATTTACTATATGTACACATGTAGGCCAATTTAAATGTACTATGATTTAGAAGAGGCCTTCTTAAAAATCTATAGTTATTTGGCTGTTATGCCCTTATCCACACGTAATTTTGGTGAAAATAATAAAGATGTCTTTCAAAACCGAGATATTTAAGATGAAAATCAGCTTGTGAAAAGTTTCATACCTCCTCAAACAGTGCCAGTTTTCTGCCTGATAACATTTGCAACTATTGAGGTCATCAGACACACTTAAACATAATTGAAGTACCAGAAAATAGCACATTATTATTTTGTGTGAAAGGCATTTAATTTTTATGCTAATTGGGAAAAAAATCCCCATGTACTAGAATCAGTACATCCGATATGTTGTGTTTTTTTTCCCCCAGTATTTGCCAGTGTTAAACTGCGCAGAGGAAGGAACGTGGTTTACCTACGTGTACGTGTAAATTACTCTTTCACTCAATGCTGACCCGGTACTGGTACCAAGGGGTTGCATGCATGCCAAGGTTCAGGTATGCAAGCCATTTTGTTGAGTTGTCGTGACAACCAAAGGTGCATTTTTAACAAGTGTGCACGGGCAGTGATCCATGACCGATAAGGTGGGGGGGAGGAAACAGAACAGGCGAGTTCTGATACCAGTGTGAACCTGTTTTGGCGGATGTCATTATGCATTTACTGTAATTACAAGAAGTTTCATTAAATTTGGTCTTGAAATATTTCGGACTATTGCCAAGTCAATTGTATGCGTCGTTCATGTGTATGCCGATTCTACAATCAACCATGAATTCCTCTCTGATGCATGACGTAGCACATATGAAAAGTAAACCTTAGGTATGGCATTTATAAACTTGTGGCCTGTCAATACAGAGTGATCATTTAGTTGGAAATCCTCGTTTTCCCAGTATAGTGTGACAAAGCGAGAATTTGAGGAGTATGTCATTTTAATGTTTTTAGTTTAACCACATTTTGTATGTTCCTTTTTTACCATTGCACTTTTTTTTATACTACCAAATGTCTTTGTTCCACCGGACATGTTTGAAGCAAACTTTCAGCTGGCTGTTCTCTGATTTTAATTCAACTTGAGATCTCTAAATACTGTTTTCTGAAAAAGAAAACAGTTTCTACAACTACTATAGTTTATGGGTACAGTCAGTATTTCTGGTACCAATGTACATGTACATGCAAGATATGTGTGGTATCCCTTCCCTCCACACACACATCTACATGTATCACTGGAAATCTGTTCTTCTGCATAATTCACAAATAAATGTCTCACTTCTTATATGTCACATTGTGTTTATGGGTTGCTTACAGTCTCGGTTTGTTTTAGCACGCTGGTAGCCTGCCTTTTTGTGCATTTTATGGCTGTCATTATTAGACATAATTAGTGTGTGTCATTAATTGTTTGTAAGTATATGTGCTTTGTCGTCTGGGAAGTCAGAATATGTTTTCTGTTGTCAGTGACCCACAGCAAATTGCAAAATGAATTTGTTTTTTCAGTTTCACAAAAGTTCGGGACTGTTTTTAATTTTATTTTAAGCACACAATTTGCCACAAGCAACTTTCCACCAAAACCAAAAAAAATGCATGAGAGCGTACCAAAGGTGATGTATTTTCCACTGCGTTGTTGAGTACAGCAATGCTATGTATTTTACATGTTCTGGGAAATCTCCTAATCTTTAGATTTTTGATTCCACATTTTCTTTTTATAAATGTTAGACCTTTCTTTTGCTACTTACCCCAGTACACGTACATGTACATCGCAGCTGCAATTTTTGCCAACAAGGGGTCGGTACTCTGCATGTGAGTTCAGAATCGAAAGAACAATTCACATTTCTGGAAAATAAACATCACACTAATATTGCAACACTAAATAACAAAATATCTGCTGAAGAAAACAGCTTCCGTTGGTTGTGACACTGAAGTGCCTTCTGAGGCAAAACTGATTTGCCAATCAGGATGCCAATTTGTGGCAAACTTCAGCCCACAAAAAAATGGTGGTCACTGTTTGTAACAAAGAATGGTATTTATTGAAAACTTGGATTGAAAAGAACCAAGAAGTATAACAGGGACTAAAAATGTAGTTTTTCCAAATTTTGGTACATGTACAAACATGTACATGTATTCCTGCATTCAAAGGCAATTTGGCAGAGCCATTACAGTCACCAGTAGCTGCCCATAAAAGAGGGATGCAGTTGACTCGACATTTTCATTCCTACTAGAGACAGGGAAGACCCAAATGTACTTCCCCAATTGGAGTATTTCCCAAGGTAAAAAGCAATTTGGCATGTCCCCACATGTGCTGCTGAGAGTCTTTGGTCATGGAGTATTTCCAGGCAGATGACATTTCACTTGTTTTGAGACACAGGAGTTGTCTACATGTAGCTGCAGACCAGGGAAAATGCTGAAACCCTTCACTTTTAAAGCTGCAATTTGTCTGAAGGAACTTCAGTATAAATTGGATTACACATACTTTAGGATGGTGGGGTTTCTGGAGTTAAATTGAATCAGGTATTAATGGGATTGCTCGTGCTGTAAAGGCTTTCAGCTTGTGTCCTACATGTACATGTAGCTCTGTGCTCTCAGCAAGAGATGTACATGTATTACAGAGCAGGTGTTTCTGTGTGCAATAGAATGGTCTCTGTCAAACAAGAAGTGCTCTTATACAAAACTGCTATGAACTACTATTCATTTGTGTGGTTTGATTTGCAATCATTTCTCATTGTTGAAAGTTACCGGTACAAAAGATCCCCAAGCGGAAAATCTTTGGTTGATGATGTGAATTTTACTTTGTAAATTTTTTGGTGCAATTTTCTACCCCTCCTAAATGTAAAAAACCTATCTGACTTTTTCTAGGGCGCTTTTATCAAACATTCACATTTTCCCATGCTTTT